AAGTTCTGACAATTACGTATACATTTTTACTAGAGAAGTTTACATAGGCCAACGCTATTAATGCATGACAAAAGTGGACGTGTTCTTATGTTGCTTAAACATGGGCAAAATTGATCTGACAGCACTTCAACAAAGGGTCCCATTATATCAGTATAATAAAATCTTTCAGGGGAAGACAGTATTCAGAAATAAAGTCCTTGAACATAAAAATTATTTTCTCCCTTCCTAGAATCTGGCTGATGCTCTTCTAATCAGATTTTAGCTGGCTTTTACACAGTACAAAAATAAAGATGGTTCTTCATCCTCTTCTCCAAATATATACATTTCTTCTTTATCCTCTTACCTACCATCTATGACTGAGATGAAGACACCCTATTCTATACCTTCACCCTAGACTTGTCACTTGAGCCCCAAGATCTTTATCTTCAAATGTATGTGTGGAGTACATGGAGGGGAGTACTGCGAATGTAACAGGTTAGACGGGATACACTCTCCTCTCTACGCATTTCCTATCTCCATCTATCTCACGCCACTTACCATCCATATACTAATTAGGGACCCTAATCCACATCTTCAGTTCAGCCTTGTCACCTGAAACCCAGACCTACAACTTTAAACATCTAGTTGGACATTTTCCACTGAATATAATTTCCTTTCTCTACACATTTTGATTGACACCAATCTCCACCAGTTGCCTAAACCGGAACTCTGGAAGTCATTTTAGACTACCTAATCTTTTCTTGAACTCTGGCCTCCTTTTTCTTATCTTCAATTTTGCCTTAGTTCCGCTTCTCACCATTTAAACTCCCTCCCCGACTTCTTTCTCTTCATCTCAAAATACAATTTTTGTCCACTTTTGAAAATCACAAATCTGCTTACATCATTCCCGCTTTATATTCTTTTAGCTTTTAGCATAAAACCCAAGCTTAGCATGGCTTACACGACACTTCATGCCTTGTTTCTAACTGCTAAGTTTATGTTTCTACCACTCTCCGTAGGCATCCCACCCATCTAGGACCCTGACTGATCTCCACTGTCACTTCTCTTGTCCATGGCACCTGTTGTCCCCTTCCTTTTTGTCACACCTGCATGGCGTTCTGTTTACCCAACACACACGCTTCACTGAGACCGCTTCCTTCCCTCACTGAAGTAGTAAAACTGACTTATCACAGAGCACCTATTTTAATCTTATTTTCAATCGCTGCTCATTCAGGGTCTGAGTCTTGATTTTCAGATACAAATCTTTAATTTGTCAACTTTTAGGTACATTACCAGTTATTATTTGAGACTTGATGAACGTGACTTCTTGAATGCTTCTAGCATGCCCTCAAGTAATTTTAAATAATAAAATTAAATGACTTTGAAAACAATGTAAAATGATATACATACTTGTTAATAAGAGCATGAAATGTAGCATTTTTATATTTAGTTAAAAATTAAAACATTAGTTTTTTTATTTGGTGCTGTGATTCTAAATACATTATTAGTGCTGCCCTTAGCATTGCTAGAGATGTTCCTCATAAGTCAATTTTCTACTTTTTTTTTTTTTTTGTATAAGGTACGTGTGCTTGCTGGAGAGTCAGAGACAGACAGAGACAGAAAGAAAACTCCTGGGGGGATGGCCATACCACAATCCCTTCTCCCCCATTCTCCCCTCGGATCCTGAGCATGCATGCACATGTGCCTAGTGTGAGTTCTAAGCTGCCGGGCCTGGGACTTGAACCATGGTCGACCATGTGGGAGTCCAGCAACGTATCCATTAAACCATCTGCTGGTCTCAATTTTATACACATTAAGCTCACCCTTTTAAAGGCAAATGTATTAAAACTGTTCAACTACTTTATGAATTCGTCTAAAACTATATTTTATATTTTACTTGTGTTGCTAGTCTCTCCTGTCCTTGTCTTGGTGACCATCAATGATTTCATCAGGTTGTGGCCCAGAAAGGTTCAGGTGGTAAGACAGTGAACTGGACAGCAGAAAGCCATGTGGCTAATGGGTTCAGATCCCCAATCCTTGGGCAGATGCTGGACACACCTGCAAGTGCCCAGGATCCTGATGAGTCGGAGAGCTGGAGGAGGGATACTGTGGTGTGATGAAATCCTGTCAAAGGTGTCTCTCCCTTTCTCTGTCTCTCCCTGTGTCATGTATGGATATATATGTTCTTCATCAGGAATAAAAGAAACTTGAGAAAAAGAATTACACTGGATTGAAATGTGGCTCTCTTTCAGTCCCCTCCCCCATTCTTTCACCTATTATGAAATTTTAACAGGTAAGATAGGCAAAATTATGCAAATTATAGTCAATCAGTTTTAAAATATTTTACATGGATTAGGGCCTGAGGGTCAAAAAGGGCAGACAGGAAACTTTTCAAGTGTAGGTTCTGAAGAGCGGGTTAGGTTTGGTCTGGAAGCACATGTAAGGTAGAGGAGGACAAAGGAAACTGATAGAGCAGTGAGGAAATGGTGAGCTCACGGGTGTTAGGTGACAAGAAATTTTATTTAGCTCATGATCTTTGCAATATCAGTGCTGCTGCTTACCAAATGACTAGCCCACAGCAAGAATACAATCATGCAGCATTCTTTTTCTTTTTCTTTTTTTTTTTTTTTGAGAGATTTTCGCTATAGGGCGTGTGCGCTCGCCAGACAGACAGACACATAGAGACAGAAAGCGAGAAATTCCCCCCCGGGGGGATGGTCATGCCACAATCCCTTCTCCATTCTCCTCTCGGGATCTTGGGCACGCACGGACACGCGCCCAGCGTGAGTTTTAAGCCACCGGGTCCGGGACGCGAACAGTGGTTGACTATGTGGGAGTCCAGCGACATAGCCATTATGCTAACTGCTGATTCCCTCATGCAGCATTCTTAGACATCTACAACCTTCTGGGCACTGTGCTAGTCAACTGCTATAGCTCACCATTAGATAAAAGCTATTATGGTAATCTTAAGTAATTTTTTAACATCCTTATTTAGGTTTACAAATGCATAAATATGTGTAAGGCAAATGTGATATTCCTATAGCACTTAAAAAATCTCCAAAATATTTTATGCCTAGAATCGCCTGGAAAAAGGGCATTTAACTTACTTTATAGTATGTTAACAGGGCTATGTATATAAAATATTTTGATAATGCCACTAATATATATACATGCTGCCAAGAAATGAAAATTACAACTTTTACCCAATCAGCTCTTTCTCTCTATTGCATCCAGCATAGAAACCTGTTATATGATAAAAGTCGGTAAACTCATTTTTGAAAAAAAATTGCATTTATTATTACCAGAGGTGATATTCAAAAAGTCCAAGGAAAATTTGTTACAAAAAAAAGCATGGATTTCAATTTTTGTAGCAAAATAAACTTGTACTTTTTAATTCCAAATTTCATGAACTTTTTGAAGTACCCTTGTATAGTGCTCTGCATGACTAGGAAGATACCTGAAGATTTTATGAACTAGCAATAATGTATAGCAACAAAAAAATAATAGCAATGAAATTTAGAGATTGATCAAGGTGTATTTAAAGAACTGTGCTGCATTTTTTTTACTGAAAACTCCAAGAAGTTAAAGACTAAAATTTTTTAGCTTGAATATGGGTTTGTGAAATCATTTACTAGTAGAAATAATTAGGCATAATTTTCAATATCAATCACGTAATCAGTGGGTTACTGATTAATTCTTTTGTAGCTCTAACTGATCAGATCAAATAATTTCCACTAAGTTCCATAACATTTAATTGGTTTATACAAAGAATTAAAATGCTCTGGGGCCAGCAGGTGGCATGGTGGTTTAGGGTGCTGAACTCCCCCCATGGCCGGCCATGGTTCAAGTCCCACACCTGGCTTGCTTTCTCACTTTCCCTTTCTCTCCCTTTCACTCTGTCCCTCTCTGGTCAAATGAAAATAAATAAATAAATAAAGTTAAATAAAACAATTCCTAAAAAAAAGAATTCAAATGTTCTGCCTTTAGTTTCCTTTGGTATACCAATGTTGTATATTATGAGTAAAAAGCATAAAGTTCATATTCTCCTACAGGGTGAACCCAAAACTTAAGACTATCATATCTACCTGAACACAGGAATCCCCACAACAGAGTAAATGTCATTTAGGTGTATGAAAATCTGCAAAAACAAACACAGACATTAGAACATAACAGAAAATGACATTACCAAATTACTGACAACTTGAAACTTCCATTTGCAACTTATATGACCCACATTACAATAAAAAAATTCCAAGGTCTCATTTGTCAAATAGGAAGAAGTGTTTCATAATCTTTTTTTTTTCTTTTCAACCAGAGGCAAATAAAATCTTAAATACATTTTATAGAAAAAGTTTGGTATCAATCTGATATGCAAGTCATTTGGAGAATCATGTTATAAAGAAGTCAAGATCAATGTTCTCCCAGAGAACGTTTGAATTATCGTAACTGAGTCAGATGTTTCAGCATTTTGGGCTAGGTTTCCTAAATCTAACCTCAAATAAGACCTGATGCCATGGGATCAGCAGGTGGTGTGGTGGTTAAGGCGCTGGACTCCCAAATGGTTAACTATAGTTCAAGTTCTAGATCTGGTGGCTTATTTTCTCTTTCTCTGTCTCTCTCTAGTGAACACATATGCTCTGTAGAAAATTAAAAATTAACAATGATGATAAATAAAATTGAGTAAATAATTAAAAAAAAAAAGACTTAAAGCCACATAGTGCTAAGTATAGGTTACGAATACTTACAAGGTAAGAAAAAACTTTCTTTAGGGCAGATACATGGTAGCTAGGATGCCTTTTTCTTTATTGTTTGCAGGTGAGTTTTTGTCTCTCTTTATTTCCTTTTTTTCTGTTAGCCCATGAAGAAGATGAAAATGCCTCAAGCTATAATTAGTAGCCTGTACATATTTTAAAAGTTTGAATCTTTATTACTTTATGGTCTGTTAAAACGTATGGAATACTCCAACTGCTATTTTCAATCTCAAGAGTATTTGATTTCATACTTTTGCCCCAAGGTAATTTTTAATATAAACAGTTTAATCAAAATTATTCTAATATTGATAAATTTTCATCAAGAAAAGAATGATCTAGAGTAACTCCATTTGGCCAATTAATTCTTTAATCAACTGACACATCGAGCTATAATTTTCAAATTTGCTATTTTTTGAAAATCATCTTATGAACAGTAAGGAATTTTTTTTCAAAAAGAATTACTTATTTAATTTTATTTATTATTATTTGTTAAATTTGACAAAGCTTGTGAGCACACCAGAGAGAAACAGAGAGAGAGGAGAAAACAAGCCACCAGGTCTGGGACTTGAACTGCAGTCAGTCATGTAGGAGTGCAGCATCTTAACCACCATGCCACCTGCTAGCCCCTGTACGGAATATTTTTTTATTTCTCTGTTTGTTCCAATTAAAAATACCATAACCTTATTAGTTTTGAAAATAGAGAAAAAGTACAGAATAATCCTTAACCCTAACGAAGAATTATTAACATACTATTGAATTTTGTGCAGGGCTTTTTGTTGTTATTCAATGTTTACCATTAGCTAGGCCTTGATATGTATTATAGAGATTGTGGAAAGCATCTCTGCAGCCTTATAATAAATATTTTTTTATTCTGCAACTATGACCAATGATTCATACCAAGAAAGTCTTTTTATAAAGTGTAGATAAAACATTTTCACATTGAAAACTATAAACCAAACTATCTGTACTATTCTACTGATACAGAGGAAAGTCTGTGGCTTCATATGAACATGCTTTTTAAAACTCTTAAGTAAAATTGGAAAGTATAAGAATAGATGACACAATCTCTAAAGAATAGGTTACAAGTAAAACTTAAAAAAAAAAGAATAGATTGTAAGTACATAAAATAGAACAAATATTCATTACCTCTAAATCTGGGTTCCTCAGATTTGCTTTCCATCCAAACTGCTTCCTCAGGGCAATCCCCATTACTCTTCCTACCGCCTGGAAAAGCAGTAAGTTTCAAAAAAGACTATCAAAAATAAAAATATTTTAAGTTTAAGTATATGCAAAAACTAACAAAGCCTGATGGTAATTTAAGGTTTCAATATTAAAACGTTACTAAAGCACTAAACATTACTAAAACATTATTAAAGCACTTTCTATGCAAGGCAATATGACTGCATTTAACTGCCCTACCTGTAACCACCCCATGCAATTAATGCTATTCATATGTACTCTCTCTGTGTAATTTTAGGCATAAGAAATAGCCAGATCGTAACCTCAGAAGTATTGTCATTTGGGGTTTTAGGAAATGAATGCAAGCTGGAAGATAAACTACTGTGGTTATTATAATCCTAAATGTTTAAAAATTACGCTATCAGTATCATTAGAATCAACCTTTATGATCTGTCTGAATTTAAGGTTGGCTAACAGAGCCAGACTAATGCCCTACATATCACTGAATTTTGTAACGGCAAATGGAAGGTTTCATGATGGAAACTGTGGTATTTGCTCTTTCCTGGACTACTGAGACCTCACGTGCACTTGTGTACTTGTGGGACAGGTCCTAGTGACAACACATATAAAGCCTGGTGCAGAAGAACCAGGAAATGAGCACAGAAACTGAAGACAAACCGCAAGAGCTTAGGACCATAATATTTCCAAATGTGATAGAAATTTTTGAGTTTAAGAAAACTTTCAAAATTTTTTCAAGTTTGTTTGTTTGACTAGAAAGAGAAAAAAAGCTGCACCCTTTATAGGGTCTCATGTGGCGATATTCCCCAAGCCTTGCCAGCCAGCATAGGTAGACCTGAGAACTGAACCCTGATCTTCCATATGGCCTCCAGCATTGCAGAGTAGTGTGCTACTACTGCTGCACCACTGTAGATGGGCCGAGTTTAAAGAAACTTTAAGACAGAAAATAAAAGGTCATTCCATAGAACAGCATGCTATTCCTGTTAAGCATCTGAGGGAAAATTAAAAAGGGAAACACATTCATTTCTTTTTTTTCTCCTCTTTCATTTGCCAGAAGACATGTGCACTACCTGAAGAGAGAGAGAGTGAAAAATCATTCCCCATAATGGTAATCCCCTCTCTGCTACTGTCCTCTCCTTTTGAGATTTTGGGCACAGATGCAAAACTCCCAGTGTTTCTCAAGCTGCTGGGTCTGGGATTCGAACCATGCTATCAGCCATGTGGGGCACAGCTGCCTTAACTACCATGCCACCAGCTGGCTGAGGAAATGAGTTTTTAAGGATGCTTAATTATATGAGGTTAGGCCTAATTATCTGTTTGATTCCACTTGTGTGAGAAGTTTGGATCTTATCTAAAATCTAAAGAGTAATGAATTCTTTCAGAAAATGGAACTCCACTTGGGAGGTAAGCATACCTGGGCAGTAAAGGCCTTTCCAATAGTTCCACTGCAGCGACAAGAAACTCTGAAAGTCAAGTCCTCCTGGTTGTGATTATCAGCTGAGTTCTCTGCGTCATTCTGAAATTCTTGAAACATTCCTCTTTCCGCAGGAAAATCTCTTTGCTCCAGTTTTTCTTCGAGCTGTTTTTCAAGCTGGCATTCCCTATTCTCTTCTCTCTCTTGTGCTTGTTCTATTTTAAATTTTTTAGCATCGATGACTTCATTTTTTTCCAGCTTTCTTTTTAGTGACTTAAAATCTGTGTCTGAAAGTTTTTCCTTTTTTGCATCAAGCTCCAGAAGATTTTTCCAAATTGAGATGGCATTTAACCAACTTCTTGGATCGTCATTTATAAGTCTTTGTATTTCATTCAGTGGTTTTCCTAAATAAGTAAAATCTTAGTTTATTCCATACTGAAGTTTTAAAGACCATCTATTACATCATCACTCCTAAATTACATTATGTTTATTTCCTTAAAAAAAGTTTTATTAAATTGTTACACTTTAATTTAGAATTTATAAAATTTATCATGGAAATGTAGGGCAGAATCAAGTTCTTTCTAATACTGTAAATACAGCATCAAAATTACATTAAAATTCTGGGGCCAGCAGGTGGCATGGTGGTTAAGGTACTGGACTCACACATGGATGACTGTGGTTCGAGTCCCGGACCTGGTGACTTGCTTTCTTACTTTTTCTCTCATGAGTGCATGTGCCCTATAGCAAATTAATAATAATGATAATGATAATAAAATATTAAAAATATTAAAATTCTTTAATTACCAAGATCACTTGTCCTATGATATATCATATGTATTTCTTTAATATACACATAACACTTAAAGTATACATTAATCTTGAAATAATGATCTTCCCTATAAAAATTAGGTTTTTAAATAAATAAATAAATAAATCACAAAACCGAGCTGGGAAACAGAGTTGCTGAATCTCGGGTCTATTTCATTTTAGCCCATACAATACTAGCAATATATGTTAAAATGAGTTTCCACTGGGACCAGCAGGTAGCATAATGGTTATGTTGCTGGACTCCCACGTAGTCGACAATGGTATAAGTCCTGGGCCCAGCAGCTTAAAACTCCCAATAGGTGCATGTGCATGCATGCCCAAAATCCCAAGAGGAGAATGGAGGAGAAGGGACTGTGGTATGGCCATCCTCCCAGAGGGTGTTTTCTCGCTTTCTGTCTGTCAAGTATACACGCTCTATAGTAAAAATCTCTCCAAAAAATAAAAATGAGTTTCCATAAGGTACCACTTCAGATACACACACATTCACAACTTAGGGACTGCCAGCTGACTTAGTAGAACTTCATCTTTTCTTGCCGTACAAAGGTCATCACCATGAAACAAAAGGAATTACTGTGTGTTCCAAAGGATGAGTGCATGGTGAACACTAGGATGAAACTGTACTGACCCATAGTTTAATACTTTGTGACTTGATTTAAAAAATTTTATTTTTGATTGATCTTAATTTCTTGCCATTCATATCTTTCTTGACATAAGTTTACTGTTTACTATAGAAACTACGTGGTTCCTTGTGCACAACCAGCAATCGAAGGGAAGTTTTAGGTAGTGTTAAATCCTTGGGTCTGACCTGTACTGCTGCTTCCATCAGAACTCTAAAGTTATTTTAGCAACAGATTTACAAAATTAGGGCATGGACAAGAAATCTCTTAAACTCCCTTTAGCTCTAATGCTTTGCAAATGGGGATAAGTTAACTTAAAACATTTATGGTCCCAGAAATAGGAAATTTTACAATAAGTATTTTTCCAATTACATTCCTCAGTTACAATTTACAAGGTGACAGTTTTCACCAATTTACTATTAAAATAATGCATTTGAGGTTAGATGTTTCTAAATCCAAATAAATGCAACTGACCATATATATATATACATATATGTCTAGAGAAAGTACCTGATCATAATTCCCAAAAAAGACATGTGTCTCAGGACACACACCAAAATCTCAGAAGACAGGCAGCATGTTGCAAAGAGACAGACATATTCTATTATAATTAGGTGATAATAGTCAGGAAATATAGAAAAATACAAAATTAATGATCCCACATGTATAAATGATTCTTAAAAATGTAAAATGGCTACATATCGATCAGGCAAAAAACTCTGGAGTATAATATTATGGGTAAAAGCAATAGGCATGCATCATACCTTTACTTACAGAACAAACAGTAAATGGAATCTGCTTCTTAATCAGCAAAAATAATCTTTCTGCAGATTTTAATGTCTTCAGCATATTCAAATCAGAACAGGTGGTAAAAAAAACCTTCCCTGAAATATATTCAACCTAGAGATAGAAAAAAAAAACAACAGTCATTAATGTCAGAGTAAAAATCATTTCCTTTTCTCCTTCCTTGGTCAGTTTAAAACATGGCATCCAGATGAACAATAACCACTTCAGAGACATCCACTATTGGCCAGACCCTGTACTAGGCACTCTGAATACACATTGTTTTCCCTGTTGTGCTTATAACAATCCTCTAGGGTAGATTTTATCATCTCCATTTTACATATTAGAGAACTGAGTTTTAGATAGGTTTAAAAAAAACCTGTACAAGGTTACACAAGATGCTGACCAAAATCATGAATTTCTGTGTTATGCTACACCTGATAACACACACACAAACACACACACACACACTACTAGAAAGCAAAACAAAACACTCAGCAATTATATTACCAAACCTCACTCCGCGATTTAAAAGCAGGCAAAAAGCAATGTATAACACACACATCAGAATAAACTGGGGTCTAGTCCAAGGTGGGTATTTATAAAGCGCCTTATGGTCTACCAGAAAGCAGAAAGCATATATCCTGAATAATAATGTCACCGACATCCACTGCCACACACATTAGAATGTAAAACCTTTAAGATAATAAGTGGAATTAAACCCAGAAGAAAATAAAAAATTGATAGTATCATGCCTGGATAAGCTGTAAGTACAATAAGAAGCATTTAATATGGAAGCCAACATTCCTGAAAGTGTTGGGGGAGAGTCCTGTGAGATCTAAGAGGGATTCTAACAAAAAAACACGGGGCAGCTGCTGAAGCGGGGGTGAAAACCCGGCTGGCCACCATATAAGCCAGCTTGGCAACACTAGCTGTATTACGCTGATTGATGGCATCAGGTGGATGGATGGTGCAGTTTAGGTCAGCCTGATAAATGGTCATGAAATTTTGAGTACCAAGGATGGTAATGGCCAGCCATTATAGACTTTGGATGAAAACTGTGACAGCACTGAATTAGCTGGCAGAAAAAATCACTTTGGAAGAGGCATAAAAGACTGAGCGGAGAATGTGACGCTAGAGGAAGAAGTAGATTACTGAGGCAGGAATGATGAGATGCTTGGCAGTGGGAACCAGATAATGGATAGAAGCAGGACACATGCTTCAAACAGAAATAGGCACTGGAGACATGACGGATAGGTGGAAAAGCTGGGGAAGAAAGGAAAATGAAACGAGCCCTGACTCCTGGGGAGCCTACTGTGGTGTGACAGATGGTGCTCGAACCCGGGGGAATCTTAAAGCTTTTAGAGTTAACCTAACCCTCTCAAGTTCAGGATGGATGTGGACTATCTGAAATGTTCCTTTGAGCAGTGGCCATGAGCTCACTAACATCGTTCTAACTTGTCCCCTAGAAGAAAGGCACCAGGAAATTTGGAGTATTCCTTGTGTTTGGCCAGGCACCATTCACGGGAGTTTGAATTCCATGGGTCTTTTGTTTTAGATCTAACATGGTCTAAATAAACTTTGGGGATGGTAATTTTTGAGGTTACTACTCCAGATGGATGAAGGAGAATCTCTACTAAGGAAGCCCTAGGTGGCACCAATAAATCCAGATAGCTTAGATACTAGCAATGCAGCTGACCAGGATAGGTAGATGAACAGACAATGACATTATGGGAGGATGTAGGGAATGAAAAAAATATTGAAGAGTCGATATTTAAAAGGATAGTCAATTAACCAAAATAAGAACTTCTTGTTTCTAGAATTAATTTCTTTCTTATCACACAGGTGACAGTTTCCCAAAATTAAACATAGATCTCAAAATGCTTAAAACTTAGAGTTTTAAAAAAGTAATTATTGGTCTTTTGGCTGGAACTGCCATCTTCCAGTAATTAACCAAAATGACGAACACAAAGGGAAAGA